ATCTTTCATAATGAAAATATTTTTTGCTGGATGATTTTCCCCGATTTGGGCAATGAGTTCTTTACCAAAATGAATTGCTGCAGACTGGAGCTCTCAACCAACACTGGCAATTCTGTGGTTGGTGGCAATCTGCTCATAATTAAAGAGTGCCACTAAATGTGATGTAGATATGTTTGCCTTTGAAGAAAAAATCCTTTAAGAACTATAAACCTAGTCAAAAAATGTTAGCTGTGTTGACACAGCGCTTGGTCAAAAAAATATTTGCGCTCTGACATCCAGCACTACAACACCCAGCGTTGTCAGCATGTGTACCTCTGCACACTGTTCCCTCTGTTGCAAGAGCACACACACTCTCACACTAAGCCATACCTGCACACCCAACTAACCCCCAACACACACAGAGGTGCAGCAAGCATGGATGCATGTGTGCACACACACATAGCCTCATTCAACAAGATGAGTGAAATTCCAAGGTAACCACCTGATGAAAAGACACCTCAACACAAACAGACCGTGCTTATGCAGGGAGAGGCTCTTTTATTCAATTGGACAATGTCTGTGTTGACTTTTCTTTGTCTGCACATTTTTAAACACCAATAGCAGCAGAAGGAGAAGAAGTCGGGGTGTGGGGGGCAGGCATGCAGTCATAGCCACTGACATGTTCAGACCTATACAAGCTCTCCATTTATATTTTAATCTCAGACCATATTCTGTTCAACTATCATGCTCTAGAGTTCTGGTATTTCATTGTATGACTGAGTGTGTGTGTGTGAAGACATATTTGCGCACTCAGTTTCCTTCTCGCTTACTTGCCATTTCCCACACACAAGAGGCATTTCACTCTTTAGTGAGGATGATGATTTACCAGCAGGTTATCTCAACCAGCCGATAAAGATGACAGGTGGTGGCGTCAAACTGGACATATGTCCACATGTTAAATCTGGCACCAGTCTGTCACTACAGGAACAATGTGACGTTAATCAAATCAATGAATGGACAAACAATGAGCAGGATTTGTAGTAGGGGGGGGTTTAAAAAAATAACTCTGTGGCTCGACACAACCACGGCAGGCAAAAGTCTGGTGGAACATCTCTGCAAACATAAAACCTCCTTCTAAGCTCTCAGTGGATTACAGCGGAATGTCAGCTCCGAGCAGGCTTTAAATCAGTTATGCTCGGCCCCCGGGGGACCTCTCCGCTGATCCCACGTAGGCCTGTCTCTCATTGCTCATGATAGGGTTACCACATCCAAATTTTTAAAAAGTTCAGGCCTCAAATCCTTCATCATGTAGCACATCGTAGGGTGAAATAACCACACTACGACTCTTGTGCAACATCTTGCATCTATTATTTAACAGTGTGCTCATTTAAGTCCTGGCACACAGACTGCTTTATTCTGATTCACATAGTTTTCTTTTTTTTATTATAGCTCTAGCTTTACACAAAAACACAAAGATGTCAGAGGAGAAGGGGGAGGGCTTGTAAGAAGATACATGAAGTGTGACAGCAATATGCAGGCACACACTGTTTAACCTCTGGGTACGAAAAGTGAAGCGGTAATCCTGTTGCTCCAGCTTTGCTTCTTATCCCTTAAATATGATTAAAGACTTTTTAAATAGTCTGGTCAATATAAAAAATGTAGCCAAATGTAAAGCCACACCTTATTATATTATATATTATATATATATATATATATTAATATAAATTGATGTTTTGAAATTACTTGAAGTAGTTAAGATGTAATATGTGTGCAAAACATAATTACAAGGATCATTGAAGAACAGGCAAAGGAAGAGGGAAAACAGCAGTTTACACCAGGGGTTTCAACTGGGGCCCATGGTACTGCAGGGGGTTTGAAAAATGTAGATTGATAGCAACTTAACATTCATGTTTAAATCTTTCCAAAGTGGGGGAAAAGTGGAAAACCGAGGATTCACTGTCCTCCTTGATGTATGTTGAGGAAAATTAGCAAAGAGCAACTTCACTTATTGACTTTTTGTTTCATGGCACATTCTAAACAGATGGTTTCAAATGTGGTATGTAAATGTACGAACCAGACTAACATCATAAACCTCAAAATCAGTTTAGGACCTAGTTTGAGCCTATGGTGGACCACTGATCCTGAAACAAAAAGCACCTGAGCCAATGCTAATTTCAAATATGTCAGCACCCAAATTTATGGGACTATTCTTATCTACAGTGTTGTTGTTTATTGGTTTAATCAAAATAGGTACCTGTTTCCTTATCGAGTAAACGTTCACTGAGTTTGTGTATTTACAAAATAAACACATTTTTGCCAACACTGAACAGTAACTATGTACAACATGTGAAATGTTCAATTTGCTTACGTTGACTTAGTTACCATTTGCTGCTAGCTTGCTATAGGCTATAAGCTCAATACTGTCAAGATGTAAGGCACAGCTTGTTGAAGCAAATGATTAGGTTAGTGATTACGACATGACGATCTAATGCAACACATGTAAAAAACAAAACATGTCATACAAATCTATAAGTACCAACACAACATTCCTAGGACTAAAATGAACCTTGCAGAAAGACTGAACAACGATGGGGTTTAGCTTCACTACTGATATTTCTATAACTTTAAAAAAAGAAGCTACTATTAAGGTCAGAAAATAAAAACTGTAAAAATAATAATAATAATAATAAGCCCATTGGCATATGTGATAAAACTGTCAACAGGCCCATGAGTCATATTTCCCCAGTGAGGTAAAAACACAAATTAGTCCGTGATAAATGCAACTTCAACAGCTCATCCGGTTAACTAAGGGGTTGCAAGACACTGGAAAATATCCCTCTCGGAATAAGAAGAGCATTCAACCTCATCCACAGGTGTAAACAGACCAACCCTTCGAGTCTAAGTAGGTGTGAAGTCAAACCTCCCATCAAACAAACTCACTGCATTCACACGAAGCCTTGAGCACAGCGCGATATCGTGACCTTGAGACATCTGCTAAGTATGCCAGCCATTGTTTGCCTGCTTGTTTTCTGCTACAGTGATGATGGACACAGTCAGCTCACCCTGCCCCATCGACCCTGTTCTCTTTAATTCATAATATGGAGAATTAGGCCTCAGTTTTCCTCCACAATAACGTCTAACTTTGCCACAAAAAAAACAACAACAGCAGCCGTTAGAATTTCCAGCTGCCTTTATCTGGGCTAGAAAAAAGCACAAGGAAGCAAGAGACAAAACTATGCAAAACTGACAAGGACAATAAACTCAAACAAACAATCTGTCAAACACGAAGTATAGTATCAAAACTTAATGGGCTTCTTTTAAACCATTATTGGTTTAACTTCATG